TCCTGAGTAACTGGGATTACAGGTACATGCTATCTAATTATTGAATTTTTTGTAGAGACGGGGTTTTGCCACATTGGACAGGCTGGCCTTGGACTCTTGACCTCAAGTGACCCACCTACCTTGGCCTCTCAAAGTGCTGCACTTACAGGCATGAGCCACCGTTCCTGGCTGAAAGCAGCTTTTACTCAAGCCTCAAAGGAACCATCTCAAGCTTTGGGGGGGGGTGAGGGGGGAAAGTGGAGCTTGGAATGGGAGGCAGGCAGGTGGGGTGCTGGGCACAAGGTCTGTGTGCCTTATTCCCTTGGCTATCTCAAGTCATGGTCCACCAGGAGTGCAGGCTGGTGTCACCTCTACAATGCCCAGGTTGTAGACTGACTGCCTGGAATTGTGCAGCTGGATCTTCATGCTTGGTTTGTCTCAAGAGTAGCCTCCTGGAACTTCTAAGTCAGCACAAAATTAGGTAAGTGAGGAGTGCAAGGGAGTGTGTGTCGAGAAGGGAGGGAAATGGAGTTTCGAGGTATGTTAAGGCTGAAAGCAAGAAAGGAGAGACAAAATTTCAAACCGCATTTTGAGGCCAAGCTGCTCGGTCACAAGGATCCTTGCTTTCCTTCCCTGCTGGGGGAGTGGTGCTCGGCTGGGATGAGGAACCACGGGCTGCCACAGCCGCAGGGAAGCCGGCCCACTGATTTGTTTCTGCTATTGCTGGTTCTTTCTATCTGGAAGCTTCTGAGATGCTCCTGTTGTCCTGGGAGTTTGGGAACATTTGTGACAATCTGGTTTGGAGTGGAGCTCAGCCAGCCCTCCTGAGGTGGAGACAGGCCTTGACCGCTCCGGGAGGCCTTCCTCAGTCAGGGGCTGACCCGTCTCTCCTCTGCCCCTGCTCCTCACTTCTTGTCTTCGCTCCACCCCTGAATGTACTGGGAAGACTGGAGGTCCTGTGATGGGCATCATAGGCTGAGGAGGAAACCTCATTCTTGGTGCAGTGCATGCCAGCCACCCTTTGTTCTACTCAGGCAAATGCCAGCTCAAGATGACCTGCTGCATGTCCTCGTCCATTCTGAGTGCACCTGGTCAGCCATGTGGCCATTCTGTGCTAGTGAGTTCCCTGTATCCAAAGGAAAACGAAAGCTTTCTCTTGGTGGTTAGGGCTTGGAGCCAGGACCTAGGCTAAGCTCCCAAGAAGGGAGGGAGCTAGGGGTGGTAGCTTCCTTATGTTTGCATTTCAAAGAGATGTCTGGGCCCTGTGGACAAACCTCCCTGGACCCCAAGCCTGGTGGGAGCTGTACTGAAAAGGTTTACAAAGTCTCCTTCCAACCTAGAAATCCCACACATGCTGCATTCCCCCTCCCGCGAGGGAAGCCAGAAGCCCTGCAAAAGAGCCCTTGGCCTTTCCCAGGTCCCGTGGGGTGGAGAGGAGGATGCAGCAATTGTGGTCCCCTCCCTTGAGGTCCAGAGCTGAAAGGGACCCAAGCCATTGGGAGGGGGCCTCAGCCAGTGGTGACAGCCTGGGTGTCAGGCCTCACCCCCCAACTATCCAACTCTGTGGCTGGCAGAAATGACCTCACAGCCTGGCCCTAGGTTTGAAAATAAAGCTTATAATTCTTTAATTCACCACGGCCAGGTTTCCTACTCCTTACTTGTGGCCACTTTGCTAACTGATGCTGTGTTTGTTTCTTCCCCCATCCCATTGCCATAACCAAACTGCTCTCCTTCTCCTCCCCTGTGCTCTCTTTCCGCCTCTGTCTTTCTCTATCTCCTCTCACCTCATGTAGCTAGCTAGAATATGGAAGGAAAATACATTATATAGTAAGTGAGGACTATTTTCACTGAAAATAACAAAAATCAATTTGATTCTTACTTTCTTATTTGATTTGATTTGCATTCTCACGGTTTTGGAGGCTTAAAGTCTAAGGCCAAGGTGCCAGCATATCCGATTCTTGGTGAGGTTCTGTTAGAAGCCTTTTCCAGAAAATAGTATTTAAAAAATCTTGGAGCCTGGGCAACATAGTGAGACCCCATGTCTACAAAAATAATTAAAAAATTAGCCAGGTGGCCAGGTAAGGTGGCTTAAGTCTATAATTAGAACTTTGGGAGGCTGAGGCAGGCAGATCCTCTGAGGTCAGGAGTTTGAGACCAGCCTGATCAATATAGTGAAACCCTGTTTCTACGAAAAACACAAAATTAGCCAGCTGTGGCTACTTGGGAGGCTGAGGCAGGAGAAGTGCTTGAACCCAGGAGGCAGAGGTTGCAGTGAGCCAAGATTTTGCCATTGCACTCCAGCCTGGGCAACAGAGTGAGACTCGTCTCAAAAACAAAACAAAACAAAATAAAACAAAAACAGCTGTGCTTTATATTATGATCATATGTCAAATATGGGCTGGGCTAATTCTGTCATACTCATCCTCATGTCACAGCACACAGTTAAATGATGAATGAATACTCAATGCAAATGCAGGGTTACTAGGAAGGGTTGGGAAAAAAACCCTTAAAATCAATAACCATATGTAGGGATCTGCAACACATATCCAAGGTCTAGACATTGAAACTACAACCCATTGTTGAGAGAGATACCATAGAGTGAAAGGGTCAATATTGTTAAACATACTAATCCCCCCCAAATGATTTATAGATTCAATGCAATCCAATAAAAACCCCAGTAGGGTTTCTTTCCTGAATAGAAATTGGCAAGGTATTCTATAACTCATGTGAAAGTGTGACAAACTTTGAATAGACAAAACAATTTGGAAAATGAAAATCAGCACTCACGTGGCCTAATTTAAAGCTACGGTATGCCAGAGAGTGTGGCAGTGGCATCAAGATACCACAGCCTGGGTGGCTTAAACAACAGGCATTTATTTCTCACCGTTCTGGAAGCTAAAAGTCTAACGTCCAGGTGCCAGCAGATTTGGTTCTTGGTGATGGTTCTCTTTGGCTTCGATACAGCTGCCTTCTTGCTGTATCCTCACACACAGTGGAGAAAGGAAGCTCTGGTGTCTCTTCCTCTTGTTGTTACGGAACTAATCCCATTATGAGGATCCCACCCTCATGACCTCATCTAAACCTAATTAGCTCCCAAGGGCCCCACCTCCTAATGCCATGTGATATGGTTTGGCTGTGTCCCCACCCAAAGCTCATCTTGAATTGTAGCTCCCCCAATTCTCATATGTCGTAGGAGGGACCTAGTGGGAGGTAATTGAATCATGGGGGTGGGTCTTTCCTGTGCTGTTGTCTTGATAGTGAATAAGTCTCGTAAGATCTGATGGTTTTATAATGGGCAGTTCCCTTGCACAAGTTCTCTCTTCCCTGACACTATGTAAGATGTGACTTTGCTCCTCCTTGCCTCCCACCATGATTGTGAGACCTCCCTAGCCACATGGAACTGTGAGCCAATTAAACTTCTTTTTCTTTTATAAATTACCCAGTCTCAGTTTGTCTTTATTAGTGGCATGAAAATGGAATAATCCACCATTATTCATCATAATTCATCAGGGCTTCCACAGATGAATTTTCGGGGGGCACAAACATTTGGTCCATAATGCTGACTGATGGGGCACCATTAAGAGTCCAGAAGTAGACTCACATACATGTGACCAACTGATTTTCCATGAAGGGGCCAAGGTAACTCAATTGGAGGAGAGATAATATTTTCAACAAATGGTGCTAGAAAAACTGGATATCCATATAGAACAAAATGAATTGTGAATTCGCCTTACACCATACGCCAAATGGATCATAGACCTAAGTATAAGAGCTAAGATTACACACCTTCAACGAGGAAACATGTCTATGTTTTTATAAGAAGACACTGAATGTAGTCTTAGTGACTTGAGTTTTGCAAAGCTTCCCTAACCATGACACAAAAAGCACAAACTATAAAATTTCAAAGTCCATTCCTTAGACTCCGTCAAGATAACACAACCAACTTCTCTTCTGTAAAATGCACTGTTATGAAAACAGAAAGGCAAGCCAGAGTCTGGAAGAAAAATATTGCAAAACACAAAGAACTTGTGTCTAGAACTCTTACAACCTAATAAGAAGACAAACAACCTCATTTAAAAACGGGGAAAAGACTTGGACAGACACTTCCTCAAAGAAGACATATGCATGGCCAATGGCCACATGAAAAGATGCTCAACATCATTTGTTATCAGGGAAATGCAAATCAAAACCACAGTGAATACCACCTCATAGCCACTGGAATGGCTGTAATGAAAAGACAGACAATAACAAGTGTTGATGTATTAGTCAGTTCTTGCATTGCTATGAAGAAATACCTGAGACTGGGTAATTTGTAAAGAAAAGAGGTTCGATTCACTCACAGTTTTGTAGGCTGTACAGGAAGCATGGCAGCATCTGCTTCTGGGGAAGCCTCAGGGGGCTTTTACTCACACTCACAGTTTTGTAGGCTGTACAGGAAGCATGGCAGCATCTGCTTCTGGGGAAGCCTCAGGGGGCTTTTACTCACACTCACAGTTTTGTAGGCTGTACAGGAAGCATGGCAGCATCTGCTTCTGGGGAAGCCTCAGGGCGCTTTTACTCACACAGTTTTGTAGGCTGTACAGGAAGCATGGCAGCATCTGCTTCTGGGGAAGCCTCAGGGGGCTTTTACTCACAGCGAAGTCAAAGCAGAAGCAGGCAAGTCACAGAGCAGGAGCAAGAGAGAAAAGGGAGAGCTGCCACACATTTTTAAAGGCCCAGATCTCGTGAGAACTCAATCACTATCATGAGGACACCACCCAGAGGATGGTACTAAACCATTCGTAAGAACCCTGCTCCCATGATGCGGGATCCAGCTCCAACATGAGATGTGGGCGGGGGCATGGATCCAAGCTATATCAGTTGGCGCGACGTGGAGAAATGGGAACGCTTGTACACTGCTGGTGGGAACATAAACTGGTGCAGTTCATCACACAGTTCAACATGACCCAGCAATTCTGCTCCTAGCTGTAAATCCAAGAGAAACGAAAACATATATCCATGCAGAAACTGGTACACAAATGTTCACAGTAGCTTTATTTGTCATGGCCCAAACCTGGTAACAACCCAAATGTCCATCAACAGGCATTCAGCAGGTATTGTGGTCCACCCATCAAGTGGGACCCTACCAGCAATAAAAAAGGAAGTATTGATATGCACAAAAACACCTGATGAAAGAGGCCAGACGCACATTATAAGTCCGTTTCTCTGGAACTCTAGAAAATGAAAATTAGTCTATAGTGACAGCAAGCCAAGCAGGGGCGGTGGGGAAGGGGGACAGTGAGGAGCAGGAAAGAGGGGTTGTTGGGGGCACAAGGCCACTATTGGGAGTGGTGGATAAATTCACTGTGTCGATTGTGGGGGAGGTTTCATGGGTGTACTCACATGCCAGAGCCCTCCAACTGTACACTTTAAAGATGCCTATTATACCTTCATAAAGCTGTCACAGGAAGATGAAACAATCACCGACCTTCATGTCTGCAGCAGGCTTCCATTTCCCATATCAATATTGCCCGGTGGTGGAGAAGGACCTAGTTTGGTCTTCCTGAACACAAAAGGAGGGCACTGTGCTCCTTTCAAAAGTTCAAGGCCTTGAAATGAAGGTACTTCCAACAGTGTAAGATCCTGGAGGATCCCCGTTTTCTGAAGACAGTGACAGATGCACTGGGGCTGACATTAGATGGAACCAGCTGCAAGTCCCATGGCAAGTGCGAGTCCCTGAGACACATGGCTGGAAGTCTTGTGTCAAAGCTGTCCCCTCTCATGCTGCCTCATCCTCATCATGCCCCCTGCTCAACACCTCATGGGCATCACAGTTATAAAATTCAAGCCCGGTGGGAGTTATAATTTACATTCAATTCCCTTTGTCAATCGTACAATCATTCTTTCATGTTTTTGGAAAGTTGCTCCTCATCAGGAACCCATTAGAGCCCAAACTTTTGCATACGGCATCCCACAGTCTCCACACTCTGGTTCTAACTGACCCTTCAGCCCATACCTGTCCTACCACAATCTCTCTGCCCTTCTAGGCTTCCCTGAACACACCTCATCCTTTCCGTTCTTCCCCTACCTGTCCTAACCCAAGCACTTCCTTTCCCTTGCAAGAAGTCCCTCTGTCTCCAGAGCTGCTCTTGCAGCTACACTGGGAAGCGTGGGAGCTGCCATGTTGCCTGAAGTCTGGGAACAGAAACAACTGGGAAAAAAACACATCTGTGTTCTCAGGAGACTGTTACGACACTTTGCTGGGGAACACACGGGACCAGGTGCGGCCTCCCGTCCCTCTGATCTCAGAGTCACGGTGTCTGAGAGGCCTCTGGAGGCTGCCTGTGATCCCAGCCAGAGGAGTCTGCACCCCTGGGCTGACCCGAGGCAGCTCACCCACAAGGCCTTTCTGTCTCACCTTCACAAGGACCCCCCAAAGAACACCCAAGCACCATCTCTGGCCATTTCTCACAATCCCAGGCTCACAGCCTTTCCTGTAACCTTGAACCTAATCCATATAGTTTAAACCCTGAGAAGAGCCCCCAGGCCAATGCTCAAACCAAATGGGAACAATTCCATTTCACCGTGAATCCAGCCGAGACAAGCTACTAGTTACGCGGAGACACTGCCAGAGCGTTTCCGTGGCTCTTGAAGTGTTCACAGTCTCAAAGGGCAGAAGCCCAAAGGCAAAGGGGTCCCAGATTTTTATCCAGGAAAATTCTTGGGTGGCGGGGTGGAGGAAGCCCTGGAAAACAGGCAAGACTTCCCCATAGTTTAAGCTTTTACATTTTAGCTGTGTCCATCGCAAAGCAAGCGTAGGCTACCCTCCCAGTTCCCCATATAGCAAGAGGGAGGGAGCCCAATTTAAAGGCACCATTGAAGGAAAAACACAAATGTTCTTTTAGGGCATTCTGACTTTGATTCCATGTGATACCTGTTCAGTTCACGAGGCATACCTAATTGGCACACCCAAAGAAAATGATAGCAATGACCACCTTGCAGTGAGAACGCCATTAAGAGGAGCTAAACGAGACCAAGCAGTGACGAAAGGCTACACTATTTTAAATGCCATTTATCTAAGTAAGCACTGGGGACCCTGGAGCTTTTCCAGGCAACTCCACTTTCTGCCGACAACTCACGTACCTTGTCCTGCCTGTATCTGCTCAGTCTTGGGCGTAGGTCTCAAGGTGAGGAAAAGGAACTTCTTTAAAAATAGAGTTCGCTCACGCATCAGAACCGACGGCATGGCATGATACTGAGGAGTCGACTCTTCTTGAGTGAAAGTACCTGCTGTCTGGCTTATAGGAATGGAATCGTTTACTTCCTAGAGTGATGGAAATGGGTAACAGACTGCATGGATATGTTTCTTTTCTGGTTCAGTTGAACCAACCATGGGCACCTGCTCCACATGAGGACTGCGTTTCTGGACCCATGCCAACCTTTGCAAAGACTGTCTGCATGACAGAAAAACCCAGACTTCCCAATGGCATCACCAGGGACTTCTAATACACCATTCCTAATACTTCTTTTTCAGAAAACCCAAAGTTGTAGATGCTTCGGATTGCCTCAAGGCAAGGCTGGAGCCGATGATGGTCCCAGGCCTGAGTCTGAGGTGCTAGGACTACAAGACCCATTTCACTCACGCTTACTGATTAACAGCACTGGGCTTGGCATGGAGGGCATGGGGACAGGCGTGACACATACTTGCAGGCTTATGAGGCAGGCTCGTAGAAAAGAACACAATGATAGGACGGGGATAGGGACCCACTGAAGGAGGCAACGGAACAAGAGCAGCTGAAGAGAACTCTAGAAGTTTTCATCAAATAACTCATATATTTATATATATATATATAAAACATGTGCTTGTGTGCTCACGTGTGCGCGCGCGCGTGTGTGTGAAATGACTGGCACTCCAAGGGGCATTCTCTGAGGGAATCCTGTATTTTCAGGTGTTCCCACACTCCTGATGAGAGGCAGCTGTCTCTGAAGACCCCCCTTCACTGCCCTCAGTCTTTGTAGATGATAAATCCCCTCTTCTCTGGGAGGGGACAGGGCTGGAAGGGGGTGGCCGCTGACCAGGACACTAGGCTGAGAGCACCAAGGGGCAGAGTTCCTGGGCCCAGATTTGGGGACAGGGCTGGGGATCTAAGACTAGTCAAGGTCTGCCAGTAGCTACGTCTGCCAGCCCTGAGTCTTTTCCTTGAGAATTCCACTTGGCTTTCAGTAAAGTGACACTTGAAGGGTCTGCCCTGTCTCTGCAGGGCTAAGGGGAGGAAGGGTGGACTGCATTGTTGTAGGGAGAAGAGGGGCCAGGCTTGCCACCATACTCATCAGGGGGCAGGCCTGGAGTGGCCCCCTTTCTCCTGCCTGAGGTCTTCTCAGAGGGTTGGGGGGACTCCTATTTAGGGAGTGATTCCCTTACACTCTGATATGGCAAAATCTATTTTCAATGTACATTACCTCTGAATACAAAAAATATTAAAAGCAACAGAATGTCCAATATTCTACAAAATGTCACCCAAAAGACATTCAATGAAAGATCCGTTCCTGGGCTTGCTCTGTTGCCTAAGTGCAAATTCCTAACCCATCTGGCTTTTCTCCTATTCATCACCAGCCAAAAGAGAGGTCGTCTGATGGGGAGGAGCAGGTAAGTGTGAAGATTTAGGCACTGGTGGTGGGGCAGGGCAGGGGGATAAGGGACAGAGAGGCCAGGGTGGTCTTTGCTGGTGGGGTCTGGGGGGCAGAAGGCAGTGGGTGGGCAGGGGGGAAACCGAAGCCAGCAGGGTGGCTAGCTGAAAATGTCCGAATGTGAGTGACCAGAAGGGAAGAGCTTCTCTCCCAGAGAGGGGATGCCGACAGTCCCAGGGTCTTATCCTTTCTGCGGGTCCTGGGCCAGCCATTCCTAGAACCACGGTGTTCACGGATAATGGGGCCTAGGCACTGCTCCTCCTCCCAGACAAGGTATGAGTTTTCCGGAACATACCTCCATCTTGTGCCCACGTTCAGGTAGCCTCTTGCTTCTGTGCTAGCTTGAGAGTCTCCCCCACCCACAATATAAGCTCTTAAAGGATTAAAGTGCTTTCAGTATCTTCTACCTGGGAACACTAACAACTTTTGGAGTGAGGGGAACGACCCCCAGGGAGGAAATGGACCATTCCTCTTAACCCAAAGCCAGCGTGCCCCGGCTGGCTGGCTTCACTGGCCTCACGCGGCCTTGTCTTTACCCGCAGCAGGCGATGCTGATGCAAATCCGAGGGATGGCTTGTGCATCCCTCCACACATGCCTGTGCACACACCATAGTACCAGGACCCTGGAGGGAGTAGAGGGCCTCCATCGGTGGTCTGCACTGTCCTCGGCGGAGGAGCCAGGGCAGGTGGCCCCAGAGGAAGGGTGCATTCCTCTGTTCTGAGTGCCTCCTGCGTTTCTCAGCCTCAGGGTGAGGCTCTGCCTGGGGTCTTCTGATGGCCAAAGAGGTCAGGGCTGAGGCTGCTGTCGCGGCCTTGGGAGGGGGTTCTTCCCACCTGAAGGGGGCTGAGCCTCTACGTCCCCTGGAAGGCCCCCCACGGCGGCCTGCTGCGCCGTGGGTGCGCTGGCGGGGAGTCAGTGGCGGCTGGGCCAGGAAGGCTTGGAAACCACGCTCACCTGCGGGGGGCTGCTGGCCGCCACTACTCTCCCAGGACTGGCGCTCCTGGGGCCCGCTCGCCGCCGCGCCGTCTCTGCTTTTGCCTTTGCTGGGCGCCTGGCGCCGTGCACTGCCTGGTGCTTGAAGAGGTTGGCGCGCCGACCGAAGGCCTTGCCGCAGTCACTGCACTCATAGGGCTTCTCCCCGCTGTGCACGCGCCGGTGCTGGCTGAGGCCCGAACGGCCGCGGAAGGCCTTGCCGCACTCGTGGCACTCGAAGGGCCGCTCGCTGCTGTGGCTGCGCTGGTGGTGGATGAGCTGCGAGACGCCCTTGAAGGCCTTGGCGCACTGGCCGCAGGAGTAGGGCTTCTCGCCGCGGTGCGTGCGCTGGTGCTCGATGAGGTTGGAGCTGCGGCTGAAGGCCTTGCCGCACTCGGGGCAGGCGTAGGGCCGCTCGCCGCTGTGCACGCGCTCGTGCTCCAGGAGTGCGAAGCTGCGGCGGAACAGCTTGCCGCAGTCGCCGCAGGAGAAGGGCCACTCGCCGCTGTGGATGACTTGGTGCTTGATGAGGTTGGAGCTGCGCGTGAAGGTCTTGCCGCACTCAGGGCAGGCGTAGGGCTTCTCGCCGCTGTGGATGCGCTGGTGCTCCAGGAGCGCAAAGCTGCGGCGGAACAGCTTGCCGCACGCGGGGCACGCATAAGGCTTCTCGCCACTGTGGATGATGAGGTGCTTGATGAGGTTGGAGCTGCGGCTAAAGGCCTTCCCGCACTGCTGGCACAGGTACCGCTTCTCCGCACCTTTGTGGCCCTGCGACCCTGTGGCTGAGCTCGGCCTCAACCCTTGGGCACCTCTCTGCAGCACAGACGACCTTGCTGCTTGCCCCTCCTTGCCACCTTGTGGATCGGCCCCAGGGAGTTGTGGTCCAGAATGCTTCTGCGTTGAAGTTGATGTCCTGCTCTGTGTCCTGTCACCTGGACAGACAGATCACCAGGCAGTGTCACCCTCATGCCAAGGTGGAGAGATGAACGAGCAGGAGGTGAGGACATAGTTGGATGGAACAAGGTGACCACAGAGCAGAAAGTGATCACACAGGCAGACAGGAGATGAAGGGGTGGGAGGATGGGCTGCAGACAGCGGGGCTGCTGTGGTGCCTGGAGACTGATGTCTGCCTCCAAAGAGAACTTTCCACCCAAAGTGGCAGTGCTCCCCACCCCTTTGCCACTACTGTTTCTTTCCCCTGATGGGGAGCCAGTTGAGCACCTCTCACTCACCTATGAGCAATCCTCTGGTGGCCCGGGTTCTGGGGATGTCTGCTACCCAGGGTCCTTCCCCTCGCTCCAATTGGGAGATCAGGTGAGGCTTGGAGAAGGAAAACCCTGGGTGTGGAATACGAAGCGGGTCAGGACCACTATGGCTAAGGACATGGCCGCTCCTGAACTCGACTCATTCTCAATATCTTCAGGTAACAGATAATAAAGAACTCTCTAAAAAGCATCACCGGGAAGGTCCAGAGAAAGGGCAGGGTCCCTCTACGAAGGCAAGAGCTCCTGCGAGTCCACGGCCACGTGGGCGTGGAGAGCTTCAGTGTCTGGCAATTTGGGTCATGAGGACAACTGTGTTTGTCACCTGGCCTGCAAGGAGGCCGAGAAGCTCTTGAGAACTCGGACATGTGTGTGGGGGCCCTGAGGGACAGAAGAAGGGCTTTTAAGCCCCAGGGAGACTTGGGAGGCCGACAGCCATGTGCCCCAAAAGCTGAAGTGCCCTGTTTCATTATCAAACTGCACCGAGGATCCCAAACACCTCCCTGGAGCCACAGGTCTGCCTGGCGAGGGTCAGAAGGAAGCAGGGCATGAAGCTGTTTCCCCTCTATGGGGTAGATTACAAAGGCAAAATCTGTGGAGTCATGCCCCCACAACCCCGAAGACAGTAGGGTAGAATACTGCAGCCCCTCTGGACTTCCCCTCTGGCAGCAGCCAACCTTGCTAGGTGCACTGCGGTAAATGCCGGAGGCCGGGTCCCGCTCTGTCTCACGCATGCATTTTTCATCAGCTGTGCCAGGTGGGGCAAGTCACTGGCACCCTCAGAGGTTCTGCGCCTCACCTGAAAGCCTTCCTGAGTGCTCTGGCCCCCATCTATTTAGGCTGTGAATCCTGTGTTTGTCCTTTAATTGGCAAAATTGTTGCCCCTTCTGGCAGTGGGGGTGCACGGGCAGGGAAGGGGGAGAGCAGCCTGCTCCAAGCTGCCCCAGCTCCTTCCAGGACTTCTCAAGGCTTGAAATCCAAGTGTACAATTTGTCCTTATGTGGGACCTCCCTGGTCGATGGAAGCCATCGTAGAAATGAATTATGTCTAAAATAGTTCACATAAATATTCCAGTATAATTTGCATCTCTTTTGAGTAGAAAGACATTTAGTCAATTCATCATTTTATACACAAGATAAGTCTGACACTGAAACTCACAGGCCAATGCATTTACCTAAAACATTTGTGGGTCCAGGCCACTTAGCTAAATACTATCCTACTGAGATGGCAGAGCTGGACTGCAATGGATTGGTGGTATTACTGGTCGGACCGTCGGAAACAAACAGCCCAGAGGCAGAGTAGGTGGACCGGGTGTGTGTATGTCATGGGGGGGCACTTACCCAGTGACACCAAATGGCTATAGTTTTCCAGCATCACCCGCTTGTAGAGGACCTTTTGTCTGAGGTCCAGAAGCTTCCATTCTGTCTTTGTGAAGTACAGGGACACGTCCTCAAAAGATACTGGCACCTAAAATAAGCCATTCTTGTGGCCACAGGGGAATTCAACCCCCTGGGCCTCTGGAGGAGCTGACAGAAACAAAATGTGAGGTGGGGGGGCCCTGGAGGGCTCAGCAGGTGGAAAGGCAGAAAAACAGGAGGCACAGCCAACAGACGCAGGAAGCCCAGATTGTGGACCTCAGGAAAGGAGAACAATGGTAAGGGCAGCCTAAGCTCAGCCCAACATGGGCATGAGGAGGCAGCACATGGGGGCTGGCTGGGGAGAGGCCAGGGAGGGGTCCAGCACTCACCTTGGGTCTCGTGGTCAGGAGAATGGCTGCCATCCCCAGGGCGTGGCGGAGCTAAGGGAAATGCAAAGAGCCCCTGTGAGCTCAGGTCAGCCTGGAGCAGCTGACCTGCGACCCGCTTCCACACTCTGCTTAGTTTTTCATGTGAAATAAGCAGCGCAGTGCGCACCTGTGGTGTTCTCACTCCTGCCGCTTCACCAAGGGCCCCTGACCATCAGACCGTCTGTATGGCTTCCATAACAAGTACTACAAACTGGGGCCTTCAAGCAACATGCATTTTGCTCCCCCAGTTCTGGAGGCCAGAGAGGTGAGATCCAGGTGCTGGCGGGCCCCCACTCTGCCAAAGCCCCTTCCTTGCCTCTTCCGACTTCTGATGGCTGCCAGCAATCCTTCTCTGCCTCTGTCTTTGTGCGGCCATCCTCTCTGTGTCTGTGTCTGTGTTCACATGTCCCTGGTCTGACACCAGTCACTGGATTAGGGCCCACCTGCTCCTACAGCGATAACCCGATCTTACCTTGATTACAGCTGCAAAGCTCTCTTTCCAAATGAGGTCACAGTCACAGATACCAGGAGTTGAGACTTCAATATGTCTTTTTGGGGGACACCATTCAAACCCAGGACACTTTCTGCAACTGAGCTGCCATGCCTCCTCCCCTGTGCAGTGGGCCACGAACTAGGGTGCCCATGCCTACTTCCCACTGGCGCTCGCCTGACCAGGCTGTCAAGGGAGACCATTCCTTCTTTCCTTTCTTTTCTTCTTTTGCTGTTTTCTTAGCTCTCTCCACATGTGGCCAGCACCCCCTGACCCCAGCTTTCCAGCCGTTCCTGGAAGCTCCACCAATCCCCTCCTCCCAGGTCAAGATTCTTAAGGAAACTCCAAATGCACACAACTTCCCCTTGCGACACAAGACTTGCTCTCAAGGAAGAGAAGAGAGGTGAGGGCAGTTCAGAATCAAGGAGATCTACAGTAGCAGGGGTGCTCTCTGAAGGGGCGACATTCAGGCAGAGAGCTGGAGGCTGCAAGTGGCTGAGAGAGTAGCCAGTGGCACAGCACATACCTTGGCCCTTGAATGGTCGTGAGTTTGGCATTTGTGGTGCTGAAAATTAGGGAACAGGTGCAGAGGATGACACCATGTGGGACCCTGGGGGGACGGCAGGAAGCTAGTTTCAGGCTAAGAGTGGGGAACATGAAATTGACCGAGTGGACAAAATGCACCTTGGCCTCAGGACTTCTACTTCTCCACATCAGTTCTCAATGCTAGAAGACCGTCAGTGCTGTGGTTTGGATATCTGAGCCTCCAAATGTGACGTTGTAATTTGATCCCCAATGTAGGAGGTGGGGTCTCATGGGAGGTGTTTGAGTCATGGGGGTGAGTCTCTCATGAAGAGATTAATGCCCTCCCTGAGGAGTGAGTGAGTCCTTGCTCTGTGAGAGCTGGTTGTTAAAAGGCCTCTTCCCCCATCTTGTGTCCCCTCTGGCCACATGATGTCTCTGCATATGCCGTGTGCCACCAGCTCCCGAGTGGAAGCAGCTTGAGGCTCTCATTAGATGCAGGTGCCCAGTCTTGAACTTTCCAGCCAGCAAAATCCTGAACTAAAGAAATATTTTCTCTTTGTAAATTACCCAGCCTCTGGTGTGCCTTCACAGCCACACAGGATGTCTAGGACAGGCAGGTCAAAGATTGCTCCTTTCTCAGCACACCAGCTACCGCCCCCACCAGCTACGGCCCCCACTGGCTACTGCCTGCTTTCTCTGCTTCTCTGCCTGGGACTTCCATTTTGTTGGTCTCCAAGCTTTTATTGATGTTCCAATAGGTTATTACAGTTTGTCTGTGGCAACAACAAGGCCACAGGAGACAGGGAGAGGGGACAGGGTCCCAGGAGCATAAAAAAAGACAGCCATAGTATTTGCCTAGCATTTAACTTGCCCCAGAGTCCCTTATCATCCATGATGACCTGCCAGCCAACATTGGTCCACGATACATAAGCTCATGTTCTGAATCCCTGACGGTGGAATGGAGGCTAGAGCCATGAGGTTAAAGGCTGAGGGAGGCAGGGATAGCAAATGTTATCCTGTGACTATTTGCTAGCAGTGGGACGCAGGCGGGGACGGTCCTGCTGCCAGGATGCAGGAGGAAGGTATCCTACCAAAGCCATATGACTGGATTCGAATGCAGCTTTGGCACTCAATGTCCAGTGTCCAGAGGCCCTCAGGAACAGATGACACCACAAGAAAGCAACCTGCCCGACCCAGGAAGTGGGCTGTTCCATAGAGCTGGTCCAGTGTCCTCTGCAAATCAGTGTCATGAGGGGAAAAGGAGACTGGGGGTAGAGACTGTTCTAGATGAAAAGACATTTACGAGGCCCAACATCCAAGTGCAAGAGGCGTCGTCGATGAGATGCTGGCATAAATGAGAGTCATCAGAGGCATTGTGGATTATGGGAGTGGGTGACTATGGGGTGGCCCTCGGAAGACAGGAGGGGATCATTACTGCTCAGATGTTGGATGGATAGTGGCACTGGGTCATGCATGCAAGTTACTTTAAAACCTTTCTGAACAAGAAAGAGAGAAAAGCTGATGCAAATAAGGCAAGATGGTGATCACTGCCAAACCTGCGGGGTAGGTGACCTGTGTGTCCTCAGACCAGTCCCTCTTTTTTGTCTGTGCACAAACTTAAAAAGAAAAGAAAGAAGAACCATGGAAAACAGACTGGTGGCTTGTCAATGAGTTAAACATGCAGACAAGTGGTTCACACCTGAGTTCACAGCAGCATTACTCATACAGCCGAAGGTGGAAGGAGCCCAAATGTCCATCGACAGATGGTTGGACCAACACCGTCAAGTCTATATATACAACGGAATGCCATTTGGCCATAGAAAGGAAGGAAAATCTGCCACGTGCTACCATGTGGATGAACCCCGAGGACACTGCTCAGTGAGAGAAGCCAGACGCAGACTTGAAAGGCCACGTATTGTCTGATTCCATTTTGTGATGTAACATCACATTTCCCAAGAGCTATCTTGACCTCGTTTTGAAATAGTGGCTAAAATCTGTCATCTCTGTGCCCTTTGAGGGCAGTTTGCTAAGTCCCCACTCCCACCACTTTTCTTACAAGGTTCTCTTCTCTGCAGTCACCAAACACACACCCCACCTGCCCCTGCCTCATTGAGCCCCCACACTCTGGGGCCAGGCACCAGACAACTGGGGACAGCCCCTATGCTCTGTAGCCTGAAACTTTATGCAACTCCATCAATCCACAAGAAGCCCGAGAAAGCAAGCCACCCGCCTTTACTGGCCCCTCAGCCCCAGGTGCTGTTTCCCTGTCCCCGCCGGGTCTAACCCCTGTGTAGCCCTGCCCTATCCAAAGGGTCCTGCCATCCAAAGAACCTTTAACTCTCATAAAACATGTCCGTCCAGAACACGTAAATCCATGTGTCAGAAGGCAGACTGGTGGGTGCCAGGGGCTGAGGGGATGGGAGGGACTGCTAATGGGTCTGGAGGTTTCCTTATGGGGTAAGAATGTTCTGGAACTAAATAGAGGTGGTGACTGCACAACATGGTGACTATACTAAATGACTTCTGAATTGTTTTCCTTAAAATGGTTAATTTCGCTGGGTGCAGTGGCTCACACCTGTAATCCCGGCGTTTTGGGAGGACAAGGTGGGTGCACCACTTGAGCTCAGGAGTTTGAGACCAGCCTGGCCAACTTAGTGAGACTCCATCTCTACAAAAATACAAAAAATTAGCTGGGCATGGTGGCACGTGTCTGTAGTCCCAGATACTTGGGAGGCTGAGGCAGGACGATGGCTTGAGCTGGGAAGGCCGAGCAGCAAGCCATGATTGCACCACTGCACTCCAGCCTGAGTGACAGAGCGAGATTCTGTCTTAAAAAATCAATTTTTATGTTGTGCGAGTCTCACCTCAATCAAAAGGGAGGAGAATAGAAGTGATCCCGTTAGGTAATCACCTGATGTCCGCAGGCCACACCTGACTTCATGAGCGCACACTGTCAGTGACTAAAGGTGAGCGAGCAGGCATTACTGATAATTTGCCAGGGCTTTCAGACTAGTATGAAATGATTGTTTTGGAAAGCAGCATCAGCTCATTTTTTCCCTACCATAAGAGTACTGAAATTTCATTCACTACCCATTTTGGGCAAGTTGAAAGGGGGAGGAGTTACCTCTAGTCCTTCCACCCCAAGATGTACTGAGGCAGGGCTGAGCCGCAAGGGAGCAGAGCACTGTTGAGTGCTGACCCCGGAGCGAACACGCCATCAGCGGGAGTCCACCCAGAAACGGAGAGTCACAGTCAAGTGCAGCATCGGAAGACTCAGCGGAGGTGCCGGCCACACCGAGCTGCTACCCAGAGCAGTGCCTATCCTTGAGGGCTGGTTCTCGAAAATCATCTCCAATTTCAACTCCTGGAAAGAAAGACACGACAACCTCTGTGCCCATAGAGCTCAAGTAATCTCCAGCTGAGCACCACTCCGTGCATCTGACGACAGGAGAGCCTGGAAGGCGCCCGGCAGAACTAGAGAGCAGCTTCTTCCAGCTGGACCGGCAAGAGCTTTGGGGACCAGCAGAGCAGAGGCCAAGTGGAAGGATAAACCTGCGTTCCAAGCCAGGCTTCTCTGAGGCAAGGGTTCCACTAGACCTCGGCACCTCAGGTAAGAAGCCAGGAAGCCCATCAACCTGGGTGACTGGTGCCCCTGCAGCCCCTCCAGGGCTGCTCCACCTCTGCAAGGGGCCTCGGACCTGGGACCCTTGCTTGCAGATCTTAGCCTATGGGTGGTCCACGCGGGGAGGGCCAGGAAAGGGGTGACAGCAGGGCGACTGCCTATAAGGAAGCCTGGCCAACCAAGGGGAGAGCCGGCTGCAGCAGGATGCCTTAAGGCGACCACTAGATGGGGAGATATTCCCAGAAAAAGAAAAAAGAACCTACACAAACATCATTGAGAGAAGCATCCAGCAGTCCCACTCATGGGGAGCAGGAATTTGGGCTTTTGCGTCCACAGCAAGGGACAGGCATTGTCGCTGTGGTAGGGCTTCTTCTGTCCTGGGGGATCTTGCTTCTCTCAGACCCACCAGCTTTCCCTGGCCTGAGGCCCTAGTCACCGGCTGCCCACCTGGCAGAATGGCCAGGGAGGGAAACTGGAGAAACTAGAGCCAAGGCCCAGCCTGGGTGCTGCATGGGTTGAGCGGGGCCCTGCATGCAGCCTAGCCTGGCAAACTCCTCTGAGGAACTTCCTTGCAGCTGGCAGGCCTTTCCCTCTGGGGGCAGAGTCCAACCCACCCAAAAGGCGGCCACCCAGGCTGCTTGCTGAGGGATCCTTCTCTGCTCAGAGTAAACCCACCCAGCCCTTCCTGACCTTGCCCAGCCCTCCCGCCACCTCTGCGCTTCCCTCCACTCCTGCCACACTCTTGCTCCAGAGAACCAGGCCACTCTCACCCCAGGGCCTTTGCACGGGGGATTCCCTCTGCCTAGAATGCTCTTCCAAAACATGACCACATGCCTCACTCTCTCACCGTCTTCGAGTTTTTGTAGAAATGTTGCTTTGAAATGAGACTTACTCTAACCACACCACCTAAACTTGCAACCAGACGTCCCTTCCTGGCTCAGCCACTAGGACAAGAACCACAGGGCAGCCTGGCCCCTGGAGAGTTCTCAGGAGATATCTGTGGGATTGAACCAGTCACAACTAGCCTTGCAGGGAAGTGCCGGGCACCACTTTCTGCCCACCTCGCTGGCTTCCTCTCTCACCCTTGCCCACCACCTTCCATTGGCCGTTCACTTCCTCCTAGGCTTGCCTAAGCTTCTGCTTTTCCGTGGCATGCCAGTCACCCAGTCAACACCCCGCGACACCACGAGGCACCAGCACACGCCTGATACCCTCTGGAGCACAATTTTGGGCATCCTGACCCCATCTGGGGACCCTCAGGGCCGGTGGCTGGGCAGCGGTGCCACAACCTCACAATGCCAATCTTTCTAGCACTCTTACATCCAGAGATGCAAAATCCAAACTCACCGGGCGATGAGCGACGGATGCTCTTCAGCCGGCCCCAGGACCGGTGGCTGGAAACCAATCAGGAGAGAAATTGACAAACGGGCGCTCCCAGCGCCCAGCCCTGGAAGGCTGTTCTCCCCTAACGCCCCTGGTAGGGGGCGGCTCCGAGGGCTGATCCAGCCACTCAGCGCTAGCCCGCCTCCCAGGGCGTCCCTGCCTGTCGCCGCAGCCGCTGCTCCCTCGTCCCCCTCCCCACCTGCGCCCTGCCCAGATGGGCCCCTTACCCCCTTACCACCTTACCCTCGGCTCAGCTCGGCCCTTCTACCTGGGCTCAGCGGGTAGCCGAGGGAGTCGGCCTCCCTTCCCGCCCCCTGCAGCACCGAGGCCGAGGCCGAGGCCGCCGCCACCTCCGAGAAGCCCTCCGAGGCGGTGTCCCCAGGAGACGGGGTGGGGGGAATCTGGGGACTCCCGGCCGGGTCTCGACCTCGCCTCTGGGTACCGCTCGCGAGGCACGTCCTGAGGGGCAGCCTGTCCGTCCCGTGCGCCGACGAGCTAGCGGGACGGGAGAGGGCGGGGCCGGGGCGGCGGCGGCGTGGGAACGGGGCGCGGAGGGGGGACACGGAGCATGCGCGGCGCGGAGGGAGGCGGCCCGCCCCGCGCCCGCCCCACAGGGGCGTCTGGCCTCGCTCCCCACGCGCCCCCGGACACTTCCGCTTTTTGTCTGGGCTGCTCCGAAGGCTGGGGTCGAAATGGTTAGCACACCGCTGTCCCTGAAGGGGACAGGGGAGGGACCCACGTTGGCATAACACCTCCCACGGGCTAGACCCCTGGGTATTACGTCCATTCATTCAGCTATTCATCTCGCTAGGGTCCACAGGACCTCTGCGGGGCAGCTAGCACCAAGTGGCCCAGCCATGGTCACCCAGTAAGGGAGCATCTCTGGTGACCCAGGATTGCAAGGATCAGAAAGTGGGGGAGAGCTGAAAGGTGACTTGGGAAGGGTGGTGTGGAGACAGGAGGAAGAGAAAGAGGAGGTCAGGGAAGGGCAAGAAGGCAAGACCTGCTAGGCGCATCTGGCTTTCCCTCAGGTTCCTGGAGGGAATCCACCTGGAGTTTGTCATTTTCCAATGGGTCATGCTCCACGTGGTAGAGCTGGGATTGAAATCCAAGGCTGGTTGGGATATTGCTCTGTTGACAATTGTAAGATCCTTGACAAATAGTGAAGCATATGAAAAAGACCGTAAAAGAAGAGCAACAGGGAAAAATCAGTCACACTGGGTGTCCCAGCCCTGGCCTCTGGGAGCTGAGCACGAGGCAGGCGCCCCCTTGGCCCCTGAGAAACCAGAGCCCAGGGGTTTCTTTTCTTCCGAGACCCAGGGCCCTGGCCAGGAGCACTTGGCTTGCAACAGGAAGCCCTCGGCAGGCCTCTGCTCCCAGGAGGAAAGCCGTCCATCCTGGACTTAGAGGAAGGGCGGGACGCTGCTCAGGGAAGCTCCGGCTGAGGAAGCAGGGCCCCCAGGGGGCCCAGTGCAGACACAGCTTCGGTGCCCCTTTCCCTGAGCAGAGGCAGGGAGGCGCCCGGTGGCCCTCGGCTGTGGGTCCCGGTACCCAAGCTTGTCCCTTCACCGGGGCTCTGGCTGGGCAGGCTGGGGCCTGGGCTGTTGAGACACTGTGGGGTGACTGGTTGGTGCCCCCTGAAAGATACATCCGCTTCTTAACGCCCGGGCCCTGTGAACACGGCCTTATATGCAAAAAAAGGGTGTCTGCAGATGTCACTAAATTGAGGATGTGGAGATAAGAGCAACCTAGATCATCCAGGGGGCCTCACAGACGGCTCCCATGGAAGAGACAGGACAGAGAGACACGGAGAAGGCCATGTGGACGCGGAGGCGGGGAACGCGCGGGGTCCCCGGAAGCTGAAAGAGGCAGAAGGATCCTGCCCCAGAGCCTCCGGAGGAAGCGCTCGATGTCGCACTCCGGCCTCCACAACTGGGAGAATCAACTCCCGTTGGTTGAAGCCACGTGGTTTGTGGTCATGCCGAGACAGCACAGGCCACTCCGAGGCGAGAGAATGGGCCGAGCCCCGAGTCCTCCTGGGCCGTGGAGGCGGGGGGCGGAGGGATCTTTGCACCTGCCTCATCCAGTAACCTGATGGGGGCTGGGGAGAATGTGGGAAGGCAGCCCCCATTGTCCTTGGGTCATTTCCAGCGTGAGCGGAAAGGCATCTGCCCACATGCCCACAAGCCATCGCTGCAGGCATCTGCCCACATGGAAAGCGTGAGCAGCCAACCTGCACGGAGGCTGGAGAGTGCATGCCTCGGGCCGGGGACCCCTGGGTGTGTGCCCCACTTCCACTGCAGGAGGAATGGCTGTGTGCCCTGGGCTGCGGGTCCCACACAAGCCTAGAAATGGGGGCACAGGAGCTGCCATGTGCCCCATTGTCTGCAGCGTGTGGGTGGACGTATTGGTGGTGGAGGTGCACCGCCATCAGTCTGAACAGTGTCACGCCTAGAGCAAGTGAAGGGGACCTGGACAAGCCCACGATTCCGTCGGGAGATCAATCTCCCTTCTAGCATGTTTTCGGTTTTTTACTGTAAAGAATTTCAAACACACACCCAACCTAGAGAGGATGACAGGGCACACACCTGCCTGCCGGCCCCGCCAGAGGTCCTCTCACGGCTCTGTCTCCTCCCTCTGCCTCCTCTTACTGTGATTCGGAGGCCTGGGGCCTCCTGAGAGAGGCATCTCCATCTGCTTTAGGCAGCAAACCTGGATTCAGAACCTGGGGAGGAAGGTGGGGGTCTGGGAGTTGGGAGGTCCCCTCTCCTCCATGGGTCCCTGCCACCCCTAGCCCTCTCCCAGTCTGGCTGCTCCCCAGCTCCGGTCTCCCATTCTCCCCTTGGCCCAGGCTGGCCCAGGACAGGCAGACAAGGTAGCCGGGCAGGGCACAGGGGAGTGGGTGCAGTCTCACAGCCGTGGTGCTGCCCTGTGTGCCGTGGGCACCTGCCATGCCACATGCAGCCCCCTCCTGGGGGCAGATTGGCAGCAGTTCCCCCAAGCTTTGGCAGGTGCCCAGGGCCCCAAGAGGGAAGTCCAGGGTGAAGCCAAGCTGTCTGTGGGAAGTCAGCACACAAGTGGGGGCAGGCTTAGGCCACCTTCCTAAGCGGGGTAGGGGTCAGGGCGGCGCTCTCCCAGGGTCATTCAGGCTGTGGCTGACTGTTCTGCTGGCATGCCTTTGGAGGGAGGTGGTCTGGGGCTGCGTTCAGAGCCTTGAGAATGTGCTGCCAGCCGCAGATACCCATTGGGGATGATAGCGACTGTGGGCTCCTGTGGGGACAGGCTGTGGGGACAGGCTGCGTGTCTGGACTGGGTGAGCTGTTTCTGTGCAGCTCCTGCCCCTACCCCTTGCCAGAAAGGTGCTGAAGATGGGGTGCAGCCAGCGAGTGGAGGAGGGGGGTGTCCATGCTGCAGTCCCAGGAGACGGTGGCTCTGGGGAAGCCGGGGATGAAATGCACTCAGCAACGCCTCAGGTCCCTCATGCTGCTCCTTGAGCCTGCAGAAGGATCAGAGTACTGCATGGCTCATGGCATGGAGAATGTCTTGTGTCATGTGGGACAGTTCATCCACCTTTGGGACCCTTAGGGCTTGATGGGAACCTCATGGTGAGGCTGGTAGGCACAATAGTGTCAGGCCTGGGTGCCAGGAAGGAGAAGTGGCCAGGCCTCGGAGCAGCATGCCTTGGCCTTCAGAAGCCAGAGGGCCTGCAGCTCACCTGGGCACCTGCGCCAGGAGGTGGCCCTCCACTTGCTGCCTAAGTGACAGCTTCTCTCATGGGTGCACCTGTGGATCTGGTTTCTGAATGTCCCAGAGGGGAGCCACTGCTGACTCTCTTCTATGTGGTCACTACCATTTGCACTGTCCCTTCCAGGATGGCCTCCTCTCCCTTCACTGACATTCCCGGTCTGATCACAAGGGTCTCTCAACTACCCTCCCAGCTAGCCCTATTGTGCCCCCTCTAGTGGGTTCACTGTCCCCAGCTGTCACCCAGGCCCCAGCCTCTTTCCACCCTCAACTCTTGGCTCTGGCTTCAGGCTGCTGCCTGTGTGCTGGAGAGTGTTTGTCAGTGTCAAGGAAAGAGAGGCCCCTCCTCTGCGGATAAAATCTGAATCCTTCCCTTTGGTCTGACTGGGCCATTTGGACGACTTTAATCACTAACAGTTGCCCCAGGAAAACGTGTGCAGCTGCATTTGAATGAATCAGGAGCCACCTCTTGATTTGGGGACGGTAGTCACCTTGCCCTTAGCCACACCTGTAATCTCACCACTTTGCAGGCTGAGGCAGGAGGACTGCTTGGGATCAGGAGTTTGAGACCAGCCTGGGCAAAACAGTGAGACCCCATCTCTACAAAACTTAAAAAAAAATTTTAGCTGGGCACAGTGGCATGCAGCTGTAGTCCAGCTACTTGGGAAGCTCAAGTGGGAGGATGGCTGGAGCCCAGGAGTTTGAGGCTGCAGGGAGCTATTGTGGCCCCACTGCACTCCAGCCTGGACAGCAGGGACCAAAGCCAGGAGGGTCACCAAAGGTAAGGAGCTCAAGAGTCACCCAGCCTTGCCAAGACTTCCTGGCAGAGAAGGCTCAGCTGTCTACTGGCCCAGAGGCTAAGCTGGAGCATGGCCATGCCTGTTGGTTGGTCTCCGCAGCCACAGTGCATGGCACCCCCCGACCTGAATGCACTTCCATGTGCCAATGCGCATATCCAAAACTGAGCTTGTGACCTTGCGCCAGGGCTAGAGCTCTTCCTGAGTCCCCAGCTGCAGTGACTGGAACACATCCATGTCAAAGGCCAGACAGTGGGGATACGTCCACGGCTCACCCTCCACATCCCATCCTTCCTGGTGTGTGGCTAGTTCTCTGCACAGTTTAGTTCTGTTAAATGGACTTTGCTGTTTGCTCCATGACACTGCCCTTGCTGTCATCTAGGCTACAGTCATCTCTCACAGGACAACCCCAGCTACCCTTTGCTAGTCTTACTGCATCCACTCTGCTCTCCACATAATAATTTTTCCACAATGAAACCAGAGATAACTCCTTAAAATGCAATGAGATCCTGTCACTCATGCAAATACATGTCTGTGCGTGCACATGCAGCCCTGGCTTCCCATCTGTCAATGAGTGCTCAGCTCCTTCAGGATGAAGACGAAATCCCTCCAAAGTCCATGAGGCCTGCCCCATCTGGCCTCCGCAGCGTCGGTGCGTGACACGCCCCATCCCTGCAGTCACACTGACCTTTCAGCCCAATACTCTCCATGTCCCTTCCAGCCCCAGGACCTTTGCGCATGCAATTCTCTCACCTGATGGGGAGCTCACCTCCCAAAAGAGAAGTGAAAAATGTCTGGGCTTTGCCAGTTTTCCTTGTAGTTATGGCATGGGCACCTAACCCAGGCTCCACCAATCACATGCACCCACTACCACTGAGTCTGGGGCCTGAGGGGGGAAGAAGCAGGGTCCCTACAGATTTCACTGTAGCTGGGCTGTTGGTGGCAGGGGCCATGCCACCCATTCCCTGAGAAACACTGGAAGATGTGGTTCTTGTGGCAGCATTCCGAGTCTCACAGTGCCTACCCAGTAGTGGGTGGGAGCCACAGGGGAGCCCTCACCACTTAGCACAGTGGTGGGGTTTGGAACCTTGCTCTTCTCTGCAAAGCCACCCAGCCTGGTTCTCCAGCCCTCCCCAAGTGCCTATGGGACACCCTCTAGCTGGTTCCCTCCGGGCTTCCATCACGGTCTGTTTCTGCTGTGTGCAACGAAGCTCTCCGCTGATGCTGTGGGATCTCCCGCTGTTTTAAATGCTCCCCTCCCTGGGCTCAGAATGACACCAGCCATTGATTTGCTTCTCAGAACTCGGGCAGCTCTCTGCAGAGTCATTTGTTGACTCTTCTTATTCCATCCTTCCTCTAAGATTGGGGTCTGTTCCTGGTTATGAATATTTAGAGGCTTCGTATTACTTGTGGGATTGACGGCCCACCTGACAGTGCCTCTCTGGGTGACTTTTGGTGCCATTTACTAAGACAATGCTGCTCAAAAGAGTAGGCTTGGAAGGAAGCTCGTCACACTGCTGGTGACTTAGCTGGGAGGTTCTGGCTTAGGCTCACTCACAAGGCGACAGTGAAACTGTCATCTAGGGCAGCAGCCTCTGAAACTTAACTGGGGCTGAGGGATCCACTTCCAGGCTCACTTGGCTACATGGCTCACTTCCTCACCACATGGGCCTCTACCATAGGGCTGCTCCTAGCAGGGCTGCCTGCAGAACAATGATCTATTTTAGGGGGTGAGGGAGAGAGAGAGAGTGAGAGAGGCAGGGAGATCTGTGTGTGTGTGGAGAGACAGAGCGAGGGGTGGGGAAAGGAAGAGGGAGGAAGAAAAGGGAGGGAAACAAGTGCAAGAGGGTAATAGAGAGAGCACCCAATACACATGCTTGCTGGTTACAGGCCATGGATTCTGCTGAACTCTATGTCACTAAGTCTAGACTCCACTCTAGGGGGCAGGGATCCAGCTACACCTCCAGAAAGGGGAGTACCCAGACTGTGTGGACACATTCTTCAAATCCTCTATTTAGACAGCTTTGATAACTGCATCGGGTTCCATGAATGAGAGGATGGGTTGGAGAGGCAACAATACTTGAAGTGAAGGGCGGATTAGAGGCCCTTGCCATAGTGTCGGCCCCAGGAATATTGTTAAAGCTTCAGTCAGGTTCTGTCTTCAGCAATGGTGAAGTCACCCTGATCAGACCAATTCTCCTGCAGATGACTCCTATGAAACCAGGATGAAATACTAACCACAAAACCTTCCAATGGTGTGGGAGACTCAGTGGTAGAGGCAGATATCATAGGGGGTTAACACCTGGAAGAAGGGATCGGCACTAGGTGACTTTCTTGCTTGTCTGCATGTGTGCATGGGCCATAGAGGACTCCATGCTGGGTGACCAAAACTCAGAGACCCAGAGAGCAGACTTTGGGGTGGCCATGGCAGACGAAAAGCAGAAGGGGTGATACCTGGGAGCAGAGAAGCACCGTGTGGAGGAGCCCCATGTTTGGCCTGTACGCTCTGCCCAAATCTCTGGTTGATCCCAGAGCTATGCATGCATGGGGCAGAGTACAAGAAAAGAACTGAGCAGAGGTTTCAGCTGATGCCCAGTACCGTGGAAACGGAGTCTGGAGCTTGCAGTTGGCACCCAACACTTAGAGTGAGTTTCGCTAGGTTAACTAAGACAACAAACACCACCACCACCAAGACAACAACAAACAACGACCCATATTTGGAGAAATATAACAGATACCGAGAAGCCAAAGCTACTAGAACTCATCATGGACAGTGTCCAGGATATAATGCTAGATTACCAAAAGAAACAAGAATTGTCCTGTTACCCAAGGATAAAAGCATTCAAGAGAAACCAACCCCTGAGATGACCCTAGTAATTAACAATATTAAAAAAAATTCTTAAGGACATAAAGCACACTTCTGCCTGTAATTCCAGCACTTTGGGAGGCTGAGGTGAGTGAATTGCTTGAGACTAGGAGTTCGAGGCTAGCCTGGGCCACCTAGTGAAACTCTGTTTCTACAAAAGGTACAAAAAATTTAGCTGGCATTGTGGCATGCAGCTGTAGTCCCAGCTACCTGGGAGGCTGAGGTGGGAGGATTGCTTGAGTCTGGGAAGTGGAGGATGCAGTGAGGCATGATCACACCACTGCACTCCAGCCTGGGCAACAGAGTGTCACTGTCTAAAAAAATAGAAAAGTAGGAAACATGCTCCCAACACTTTATTTATTATTTTTTTGGAGGCAGAGTCTTGCTCTGTTACCCAGGCTGGAGTGCAGTGGTGTGATCATGGCTCACTACAACCTTCCCCTTTGGGTCTCAAGCAATCCTCTCACCTCAGTGGCATATGGGATTGCAGGCATATGCCACCACACCCAGCTAATTTTTGTATTTTTTGTAGAGAGGGGGTTTCCCCGTGTTGTCCATGCTGGTCTCAAACTCCTGACCTCAAGCCATCTGTCCCCTTCAGCCTCCTAAAGTGCTGGGATTACAAGTGTGAACCACCATGCCCAGCTACCTAACAATTTTTTTCTGGTGCCGTGACTCTCATCTCATTGCTCACTGATTATGAATTTTTTAAAATAGGAAATTTCAGAAGAGAAATAGGAACTGTAGATGCTCCTTGACTTACTGTGATTAAGTCCTGACAAACCAGTAGTAAGTAAAAAATATGGTAATTTGAAAATGCATTTAATATCCCAGTAAACCCAGATGCCCCTTGACTTAGGATGGAGTGATGTCCCAGTAGAGCCAGTGTAAAGTTGAAAACTCATAAGTCAAACCATCGTAAATCAAGGGCTTTGTATATTAAAAAGAACCAAGTATCGGAAGTAACGTCTTCACTGGATGATCTTAATAACATTGTAGATGACATATGAGTCGCAAACTTACAGATAAATAGAAATAATCCATCCTGAAAAATGAAGAGGAAAAACAGTTTTCAAAAAATGAAAAGGGCATCTCAGTGAGCTCTGGGACAATATATAGAGTTCTAACGAATGTGTATATGGCCTCTTAGCAGAGAAGGGAGAGAATGGGGAAGAAAAACTACTCAAATAACGACCGAAATTTCCCAAATTTGAAGATAGACATAATTTACAGATTCAAAGAGGTCAGTGAATTCCAAGGAAGATAAATACAAAGAAAAACGATGTATAGGCACATTTGTAGTCAAAGTACTGAAAACTAAGAGTGACTAGTGAATTGTGAAAACAGTAAAATGGAACTAACTGAAGAAAGAGAATATTCACAAGTTACCTGAATTATCATCAGAAGTAATGGAAACCAGGAGACAATGGAACAGGACTTTTAAAGTGGTGAGAGAAAAAAAGCAATCATTTTAACCCAGAACTCTGTATCTATATCCAGGGAAAATACCCCTCAAGAATGAAGGTGAAATAAGGATGTTCTGAGATACATGAAAGCTAAGAGAATTCACTAAGCGACTTAAATGCTGAAGGAAAAGAGGGAAACCTTCATCTTTCGGTAGAAATGAATAACAAAATATGTGGGTACATATTAAGTGATATTTATTTTCTATTTATAAGTTATTTATAATACACATGACAGTTTAAGGTAAAATTATAAATAATATATTTCAGGGTTTATAACATGTAGGTATCACATATATGACAACTATAGCATAAAGAATGGGGTGCAGGTGGAGTAATCTGCATAATGAAAATGGTCTTACGTTTAGGTGAACTATGAGTAGAGAGTGGAAAGTTAAAAAATATGGGAATCTTCAGAGCCACTGCTAGAAAACAGCACAAAGAGCTATTGCTGAAAAGGCATAATAAAAGGTAATCATGATAGAAGGATCCATTAATCAGGACGCATGGAGTTCATACATATGTTTGCACCCAAGAACAGAGCTTCAGAGCTTATAAAACAAAAGTTGGTAAAGAGAAACTGGCGTTTTCACAATTATAGTAGAAAATTTTAACAGTCGTGACCCGGTCATTGATACTCCTAGAAAAGGGATCAATAAAAACAGAGGATCTCTTTATGACATTAGCAATCATATTGGAAAGCAAACAGGGGAGCAAATTGGACCGATTTACCTCGAAGAACTTTTGCTTTGCAAATGTACTCCCCTGATCCTCGTGGGCAGGCCTTTCCATGGCGGTGGGTCAATCAGTGTGCCTGCCGCTTCTGGGTTTCGAGCTTTTTCACCTTTAGGTGTGGTCGCCATGGTAACAAGAGTGCATTCCCACGTGCTCCCCTCTCTTGCTCTCCCCACCCAATCATTTGCCCTGTATAGCAACACTGGCCTAGAACTTTCTTTCGGAATTCCCTGTGGCTTCTGGGAGAACCAGCGGTGTCTGTGAGCTTGGGCGGCTGTTGGCGACAAGTGCCTCAGAGAGCCACACGCTTCCATGCTGCGGAGCTGAGGCGATCTCCTCAGACCCTTCAGAGAGACGCAGACATCCGACTTCCCACTGAAAGACCTGGAGTTGCCCAGAGTTTGAGAAAGTGAGTAGATTGTGGAGGGTTTGCTAGAACCCAGGCCTGGGAGGTGCCACTGGAGCCTGGGGTGGAGGCACAGGAAGCTGCCCGGGCGGGGGGGTGGCAGGTGGTGAGGAGCGGGCTGTGGAGCTGGGGGGCGGCAATCCCGCCTGGCCAGGTTTGGGCGCAGTGTGAGTGTTGCTGTGGGCTTCCAGCCAAGGAAGGTCACCTGGGGAGGGCGGTTGGAAGGAAGGCTAACGGGAGGGGGTCCCCAGTGCAGGGTGGCCAGAGGAGGACCACTGGGTCCTGGAGATGGGGGACTGAGGACTCAGCACAGGGCCTGGGCACAGTGGGTAGACAAAGCAAGATGTAGTGCGACCCAACCAGTGCTGGGGCAATGGGGCCTCAAGGGCTTCTGGCTGCGGGCCTGGAGTTCCAGAGAGGGTTCCCCAGGGCGGGAGGGTGAGGGAGCCGAGGAGCGCCTCGTGGGAGACCTTGCTGGCGGTCTCCCAGCATGGGATGGCAGGAATGGAGGGTGGCCCAGCCTGGGTCTGAGGTGCTGGACAGGAGGTCCGCTGGCGGGCACCGTGCGCAGGTCCCAGGGGCAGGTGGGTGAGGGCAGAGAGTCCTAAGCCTGGTGGAGGGCCTAATGGAATGGATGGCGCCATGCCACTGCGGGCTATGGGGGCTCCTGACTTCGGGGTGCGGGGCGGGAGTGTTCGGCTCCTGGCTGTGGGGAGGCCACAAAGAGAGGCTCGTATCTAAGCATGTGGGACGCCCTGCTGCCCGGGGCTAGACCGGAGTCTTGCCAACTGGGCATACTGGAGCTAGGTGGGGAAGTGCACATTGTGGGTAGGAGGGGACGGTCTCCGGTACGCGGTGAGGGATGAGCTGGAAGGAGGGCCAATGCCTGAGGGTGCACGGGGTGAGGACCTGGAAGCCATTTATCGGCCACTGGTACAGGCGACGGTGACCGCCCCCTGGAGGTTGTCGGACGTGGCACTGCCTTGAGGACCCTGGCCCCCTACAGGTGGAATTGGAAAGGCTTCAGGTAGCCTCTTTCATGGAGAATGGCGACAGGAGTTGCAATGGCTAGAGGTGGCCGACCTTGACCTCTTTAGAAAATACTGATTCATTACAAGGGCAAATTGTACATGCACTTACATAGACCGTATGTTGAGCCATTTAAAAATCTTCAGAAACGGAAAAGGATCGCACGTTTACATAATAAGTTCTCTGATCACAGTGGAATTATATTTGAAATTAATAACAATAACATATGTCTAAATATTTGGAAATCCATGAGTCAAAAATGAAATCACATGGGAAACTTACAAGATACTTCAAACTGCACAAAACATACAACTGATCCAAATTCCTAGACATTTGGAAGGAAGGAAGTGGTCAGATGAAAATTTCTTGCGTTCAGTGCTCATAACAGAAAAAAATAAAGCATAAAATCAGTGGCCAAACAGTCCATTTAAAGAAACTCGAAAAAGAAGAGAAAAATAAGCACAGACTGAGTCAAATAAATAATAGAGATATGAAGGACAATCGGTAAACTCTGACATTGGGCTTTTTAAAGAGTACCAAAATTAATGAATCATAGCAAGACTAATTAAGATGAGAGAGGGCTGGGCACAGTGACTTATGCCTGTAATCCCAGCACTTTGGGAGGCTGAGGTGGGGGAATTGCCTTCTCCCAGGAGTTCAAGACCAGCCTAGGCGACATAGTAAGACCCCTTCTCTACAAAAAATAGAAAAAATTAGCCAGATGTGTTAACGTGCCCCTGTAGTCTGAGGTACCCAGGAGGCTGAGGTGGGAGGATCGCTTGAGCTCAGGAGGTTGAGGCTGCACTGAGCTGAGATTGAGCTACTGCGCTACAGCCTGGGCAACAGACACACACACACACACACACACACACACACACACACACGAGATAATGAACACTAATCAGTATCAGGAATGAAGGACAGGATATTGCTACATACCATATAGATGTTAAAAAGATAACGAGGGAATATTGTGAACAAGTTTTTGTCAAAACTTTTGAAAACTTAGATAAATTTCCCAATTCCTTTGTGGGGAAAAAAGTTACTTACTACAAATGGCACCAGGTAACATAGAAAATGTGACTAGCCCTGTATCTTCCAAATACATTTAGTTCACCATCAAATTTCACGAAAATCAAAGAGTTAAAATGAGGAGGCAGAGGAGCTCCAGCCCTGTCCCCCTCCCACTTGTAGGGGCAGATTAGTGGTGGGAGTGGCACAAACAAGCGTCCCTCTTTGCACACGCAGGCTGCGTCAGAGACTGCAACAGTCATCACACATTCCTGTCTGATCAAGCTCCCTCCCTCAAGTCCTCTGCGATGGCTCGGACAATGCTTCAGGACTGGTGCAGGTGGATGGGTGCGAACGCAGAGCGCTCCCTGCTCATCCTGGGTATCCCTGATGACTGCGAGGAGCATGAGTTCCAGGAGGCAGTGCGGGCTGCCCTGTCACCCCTGGGCAGGTACCGAGTGCTCACCAAGCACTTCAGAAAGGAGCTCGGGGCCAAGGTAGCCTTTGTGGAGTTCGCTGAGTATTTAAACCGAAGCTTGATTCCCTGTCAAATACCAGGCAAAGGAGGGCCCTGGAAAGTGATCTCCCTGCCCCAGGCTCCTAATGTTGAGTTTCAGGATATGCCCAGTTTTCGTGCACAGCCACAGGGGCAAGCAGTGGCCAGAGGTGCAGGTGAGGCAGGATGCGCAGGTGAGGGAGGAGGCGCAGGTGAGGCAGGAGGCGCAGGTGAGGCAGGAGGCGCAGGTGAGGGAGGAGGCGCAGGTGAGGCAGGAGGCGCAGGTGAGGGAGGAGGCGCAGGTGAGGCAGGATGCGCAGGTGAGGCAGGAGGCGCAGGTGAGGGAGGAGGCGCAGGTGAGGCAGGAGGCGCAGGTGAGGGAGGAGGCGCAGGTGAGGCAGGAGGCGCAGGTGAGGGAGGAGGCGCAGGTGAGGGAGGAGGCGCAGGTGAGGCAGGAGGCGCAGGTGAGGGAGGAGGCGCAGGTGAGGCAGGAGGCGCAGGTGAGGGAGGAGGCGCAGGTGAGGCAGGAGGCGCAGGTGAGGCAGGAGGCGCAGGTGAGGGAGGAGGCTCAGGTGAGGCAGGAGGCGCAGGTGAGGCAGGAGGCGCAGGTGAGGGAGGAGGCGCAGGTGAGGCAGGAGGCGCAGGTGAGGGAGGAGGCGCAGGTGAGGCAGGAGGCTCAGGTGAGGCAGGAGGCTCAGGTGAGGGAGGAGGCGCAGGTGAGGGAGGAGGCGCAGGTGAGGCAGGAGGCGCAGGTGAAGCAGGAGGCACAGGTGAGGGAGGAGGCGCAGGTGAGGCAGGAGGCGCAGGTGAGGGAGGAGGCGCAGGTGGGGCAGGAGGCGCAGGTGGGGCAGGAGGCGCAGGTGAGGGAGGAGCTGCGGGTGAGTCAGGAGCTGCGGGTGAGGCAGGAGCTGTGGGTCAGGCAGGAGGGACAAATATGGCAAAAGCCTGGGTCCAGCCCTGGGGCTGCACCCTGCAGGCTGTGCAGGAAAACAGGGCCTCCCGGGAACTGAGACCCTTTTCCGGGAGGGAGCAGCTAGGCTGTGTGGAAGAGTCCTTTGAGAGCTGGCTGGAGCACGCCAAAGACATGCTACAGTTGTGGTACCATGAGTCGGAAAGGGACAGGAGGAGGTGGCTGCTGGAGAGCTTGGGCGGCCCGGTCTTGGATGTCGTGAGCGGCTTCCTGGAGGAAGATCCCAACTTGTCTGTGCGGGACTGCCTGGCGGCGCTGGGGCAGGTGTTTAGGAACCGGGACACTCGGATGACTTCTCTGCTGAAGTTCCTGACCTGCACGCAGGGGCCCCAGGAGGGGCTGTTTGCTTTCGTGGTGCGCCTGGAAGGCCTGCTGCAGAGAGCGGTGGAGAAGGGGGCCGTCCACCTCGCCCTGGCCAACCACTTTCGACTGCGGCAGGTGCTGTCTCGGGCCCACCCCGGCGAGGCTCTTCAGGATACCCTGAAGGAGATGCAGCTGGATAGGAGGCCACCCGGCTTCCTGGGGCTGCTTCGGCTCATCCGGGAGATGGAGGTGTGGGCGGCCTCCCCAGTGAGGAGCCAGCAGGGTGCAGCCTGGCCAGAGGCCCCAGTGGAGAGTGAAGACCCAGCTGCCGCCCAAGGAGATACCAGCGAAGCTGATCCCATCGGGGAAGATGCTGCCGAGGCCGCTTCTGCCACCAAAGTGGCCGCCAGGGGTGCCCCTGCCACTGGGGAAGATGAAAATGCCCCTACTGGCCTGGAAGGCTTAGGTGGGGCGAGGCCTGTAGAGGTCCCCTGGGGCTCCTCCCTAACCCGGATGGGCAGTGCTATCTGGGTGTTCCCAAGAGGTCCTAGCTGGGGTCCAGAGGGTCTCATCCAGGTGAGAGGCCATGAAGCCAGGAATCCCCCATTGGAGGGGCTCCAGACCATCTTGGAGGAGTCTGAAAATGAGGATGAGGATGGGGCTGGGGAGGCGGGCCAGCCCAAATCTTCCCCGGGCAAATAAGCTCCGAGGGCCCTGGGGCCTCCTCTCCTTCAGGCAGCAGCATCCGGGAGGCAGATGGAGGCCAGGCCAGGGCCAGTCCCTCATCCTACATCGCGAGTAGGGGTCCCCACCTTCCCCAAGAGGCCCTGGCCACCACCCCCAGCCCTTCCCCATGATCCAGATGACCACATTTGATTCCAAATGGGGTTGGGAGAGGCGCCCCTCCCTCCCTCCCTTGCACTTAGCACACCCAGCACTAGCCCCAAACCCTGTCACCACAGGAGGCCGGCCTAGAGGGAAACCTGAGCCGCCAGCCATGGTCTGGGTGGGGGCACCTGAAGATGTCTGCACCCCACCCTGACCCTAGGTTGGGAAAGAAGGAGAAAGAGGCCCTCTCAAGGGTGCCAGCTGCTTGGGTCTCCCAAGAGGAGTTCCCCCATTTTCCATCCCTGGGGCAGGCTGCCCCCTGTTCCAGGAAGCTCACCCTTACCTGTGCAGGCCCCATAGTGACCCATACACCCAGCAGACACCCACTCACTGATAACCATCGTTCCTGTGCAAAGTTGTGTGCTGTGCGCTCACCCGGGCGGCCACCTCTGGGCCTGGGACACGTGCTGTGAACTTCCTTCGAGCCCACGCTCTGCTCGCTGCTGTCTGTCCCTCGTCATGAGCACCACCTCTGCTTTCCCGGTGTAGATCTAGGCCAGGGGCTTCTTGTTCTAGCGGAGCTGTGTGTGTTCTTCTCTGAGCAGCTCCTCCCTGGAGACCCCAGCACAATCCTGAGAGATGGCAGAAAGGAGGTACCAGGACACGGTACCAGTGACTGTGATGGTGACAGTGACTGTGGAAGAAGAACTGGACCCGGGGCAGAGAGGGCTGTGTGAGGCTCCCCAGGGACTGTGCTTTGGTGTTCCACCCCTGTTGTTACTCGTGACTCAGTTTCCTCAGCCTGGTGAGGTGTTCCCTGCTGTTTTCCAGTGTTCTGTGACTGTCCTGTGAGGGCCACAGGGTAGGGATGGGCTCGGGAGGGGGCTTCCTGAAGCCAGTGGACACTGCCAAAGTCCACCGTCCTGGCAAGAGGCTGACCTGGGGCCCTCGGGATGGAGGGAAGTGGCCGTGGGGGCTGCAGTGGGAAGGGAGGCAGATGATGCACCTTGCCAGCAACCCCAGGAGGGGGGTGCCCAGGACCTGTGGCCTGTGGTGCCTGTTTGCTTCTCTCTGTGTTGTGGTTCCCTTCTCTTCAATGGTTTCAGTACATGCTTCTCTTCAATAAATTTCATTCTGTGTTCCAGCTGGTCTCGCCTCTGCTGTGGAAAACTGGGGGAGGGGGAATGGCTGGGGATGGGGTGGGCATGGAGGAGAGGAAAAATATCCCTACCCAGCACCCCTGGGGGACATCTCCAAAGAGAGTGTAAGTAAGCACTGTGGCCAGCAGGCTAGGACATGACAAGGGCTTTTCTTATATTTAATCGGTGAATTGTCAAGTTTTAGGGTTTCATTAGTCCTTAAATTTGTGTTGTCCTATTCCCTGCAGCTTTTGAAAATGTGTGGGGATGATGCTGGTTGTTGACTCGACTCTAGGGAAGGTGCCACTGGCATTCTGTCCCTAGGGTTCAGGACTTCTGAACGTGGGTCACATGTTTCTGAGGCCATGCAAGAAAGATGAGTCCTGCACACAAGGTCAATAGCACCCACAGTGAGAAAGCCAGTATGAGAGTTACAGGGGTTTCCTAAGACCTCCACATGTTTGGAAACTTGAGATATCCTCAAACTTGAAAATTCCACCATGGAACAATAATGAGCAACTTCAAATCTCTAGAGCGTAGTGGGGCTTCCGGGAGGATGGGTGCGAACATTAATCCACCCTCCACCTGCGATGGGAGATGCGCTCTCCAGGAAGAGGAGCGGCCAGGGAGCTGCAGAATCAAGGGGGACCTGCAGGAGCCTGGGTGCTCTGCGAAGCGGTGACGCTCAGGCTGAGAGCTGGAGGCTGTGAGTAGACAGAGGCAGGCAGTCTGTCCATAGAAAAACCTCAGACAAAATACACTTAACAAAGTCGATTTGAGCATGAAAGGGTCCATGGATCGGGCAACATTCAAGATGGAGAGGTTCCGAGAGCTGTGTGGAGCCATGTGAAGAGCAAGAGAACAGATGTGGAGGCAGAGAAAGGACCTCCTGGCCCTGCTGCGGTGAGGCGTTTGCCTTCCTTCGGGTGTGGTGCAGTGGGAGGTCCCTGGCTCGAGGTTCCGCAGCACTCTTTACATTGGCTTCAGTTTGCTTGTGTAGGAATCCCGGGCACGGGAGCTGTCTCAGCCTAACGGTCTAATTATATATATTTTTAACAAGGCCAAGGGCATGGCATATACCCTGGCCCCCCAGAAGGGCTGGAGTTTGGCATTTTTGTGCTGAAAACTGGGGAAATAGGGTGCAGAGGAAGAGACTATTTGGGGCCCTGTGGGGATGGGGAGGAGTCAGGTTTACTTCTCAGGGTAGTAGGATGCTGTTGGCCGATTTAGGCCTCCCACGAGGAGCAGGAAATGCCAAGTTGGTGCTGTCCCAGCTTCTGCAGCAAGGGCTTGCATGCGTGACCTACGCTCCACCAATCAGACGCGCCCACTGCCCAGTGAGTTTGAGGTCCCAGGTGGGAAGAAGCAGGGCCCTGCAGATTCCGCTCAGGCTGGGCTGCTGGCAGGAGGGGCTGTCTCACCTGTTTCCTGAGGATCAGTGGTGGCTGCATTAGGCCACTCTTGCATAGCCATAAGGAAATACCTGAGACTGGGTAATTTATGAAGAAGAGAGGTTTAAACGTGGGCTATAGAGGAAGCATGGTACAAGCATCTTCTTCTGGGGAGGCCTTGGGAAGCTTTCACTCATGGTAGAAGGGGGAGAGGGAACAGACACTTCATATGGTGAAAGCAGGAGGGAGCAAGTCAGCAAGCAACAGAGAGAGAGAGAGAGAGAGAGAGAGAGAGAGAGCGCTGGGGAGGAGGTGCCGTACACTTTTAACTGACCAGATCTTGTGTGAATTGAGAGAGAGAGCTCAGTCATCACCAAGGGGATGACCCAAGTCATTCATGAAGGATCCGCCCCCATGACCCAAACACCTCCCACCAGGCTCCACCTCTGACATCAGGGATTCCAATTCCACAAGCGATTTGGGCGGGGAAAAATATCCAAACTATATGATCTTGGTTCTAGTGGCAGCACCCTGAGTCCCACAGTTGTGGGTGAGAGCTGTAGGGGAGCCCTCACCTGCCCAGCACTCACGGAGTTTGGAACCTGGTTCCTCTCTGCGAAGCCTCCTAGTCTGGTTCTCCAGCCCTCCCCAGACCAATCTTGGGAGAGTGCCCTAGGCCTGGCAATTCTTCTGGTCCCAGTACTGTTAGCTTCCCAGAATGCAGCAGCCCTTCCTCTTGGTTCTCTTAGGGATTTTGGGAGAATCCCTCACTAATTCCAATTTTGGTGGAAAGTGATGCCTTGTCACACCATTGAAGGCACAGCGGTCAGCTCTTTTCTTCCTGCCGGGGCCCAGCTAGGTGGTGGGCCTGTGACTTGGGCTTCGCTAATCAAATGCCTTGTCCTGAATCTCTGAGTCTGAACCAGAAGTCCCAGACAGGAGTGGCTAGAGGCCTGGACACAGGTGGTGGCGGCAGCATGCTGGCTGGCCTGCCCCTGCTCTTGGCCTATGCTCTGGTTTTGGAAGCCCGGGGGATTTCCAGCTTTCCAAACCCAGTCCCTGGTCTCCAGCCCTTTTCTGTGAGCCCCCAGGAGCCAGACAAGTAGTCCCGCTGTGCCCGAGATAACCACAGGCTGTCCCAGTGCGAGCTACTCACTGACTGGCACATGCTGCAATGTGGTTGTTTGGAGGCAGCTGCCCTCCCTCAACTCTGCTAAATCCTCAGCACAAGCTCCAAGTGTCTCCTAGGTGAGCAGCTGAGGCTGGGGCTGTGTCTTGCTCATCCCTACGTTGGGCACAGCAAGATGGGGTGGGGGGCAGCGGTTCCTCGGGGAGTTTGTGAAGGTGACTCTACCAGCTTGGGCTGACTCTATCTGAGCACACTCACCCTGACATTTGCAGCCCCTCCTGGGCAGTCCCAGGTGACCAAGCCCCAATCCTCTTCCAATGAAGAAGCTCCTCACACATCCCAACTGGGAACATCATGCTCCATGAGCCCTAACGAGTGGTCAGCTAGTGACTAAGTCCAGGGGATGGCAGGTGTGTAGCGACACAGCCAATGGTGAGTTCTCCACTTGTGCCTAAGTCCGCCCTTTCAGGGAAAAGAAAGAGCAACTCAACACCTCTGGCTCCCTCCCACTTTCCTCTGCCGCTGTCCTGGAAGATCCACAGACACCCCATGGCCACCATGGACTGCAGAGCTGCCAGTCCAAAACCCTTCTCACCTGTGACCCAGCAGGGGCAGGGTGCCAGTGCAGAGGCCCGTGGCGCAGGCAGGTCTGGGGGAAGCTCTCGGAGCTGAAGGTGAGGGCCTTGGGGAGCCCCCAATCCAGTGTGAGACCTGTTGGAGAAGGGCTTCCCAGCCCCAGTTATACTTGGGCTCTTTCTGTAGACACTGATGGCAGCTAGGTGGCACCTGGCCATGGGGAGGGGGATGTGCCCCTGCCCTAAGCTTCTGGGACATGAGTAAAACACCAGAAGCTTTGAGGGACAAGGTAAGAGCTTTCTCCACAGGCCTTGACGGCACCATTCATATTTCCTTCTCGGTCTCCATGCTGTGCCCTCCGTCTGGATTGAGGTCCAAATCCATGTTGGTCTGGCCCCTTCCTGCGCCTGCCGGCAACCTCTGCACCCCCTGCAGCCCCCCAATCCACTGGTAGTGTCAGGTCCCAGAGCTGATGCAGGCTGAGGGCCATAGCTTGGAGAGGGTGAAGCACCTTGCTGGGGAGTGGACAGCCTCCCTTGAAGCCCTGTATACTCTGCTGGGGTGCTCTCCCAGCCCCGTGCCCATCCTGGTGCCAGCCCAGCTCCCGTCTGTGGAGGCGGAGATGGTGTTCAGCAGAGGGCTGTTGGGACCCTGCTGTGGAGAAGTTATTTGGTGAGTGATTCGGTGCCTGCCCCTTGGGGCACTCAGGAACTGGCCTTGAGTGGCTCCTTCAGATGGGTTTGGCGTGGAAGCCTGAGTGTGACTGAGAGGCCACACTGGGCTTTGGGGGACAAGTCCACTGGAGAAGGGCTTCAGGTCCTAGCAGCCAC